ATATCTAACATTTCGGAATAAAAGGTAATTAATAGTTCAATGATGTAATAAGAAAAATATACCCCCAAAGTTGGCAAAAAAAGTCGTGAACAATATTTACTTTACGAGATCGGTTGCATTTTCATCAATGTCTAAATTATAAAACCATAACGCTACAGTTTCTGTAGCTAGAAGTTAATACCTGTTGCAAAGGCTTTTTTATTATAAATGTATCGTAGACAAAATTGATAAGAGGTATTGAGAACTAGAGCTATTGAGAACTCTGAAAACAAAAGGTACTGTGAGCAATGAGCTCACTAAATCATACCCCGCCTCCCATATGAATATAAAAGGAGAGTGCATCTTTCGTTGTGGGAAACCCTAAATATGTGTCGGATGGAAAAATAAAATACGAGATGCACAATGGCAATATGTAATAAAGATTCTGTGAAAGTTTCATTAAATTTCACTCAGTGGTATCAGAGCAGTTGCGGATAAGAGATAGGTACCCCCAAGGCGTAAGAATAAGACGGTCGGACAGACAGACGGACTAACGGACATAAAGATTACTAGAAACCCTCCCGCTTTTCAGTTGGCTGGTGTAATCATGGCAATTTCTCTGAATGCCTGGATACCTATCGTTTTTTAGCCTAAAATATATTTGTTGATCAATTTGCAATTAGAAAATGCATTGCTGATATTCCAATTTACTTTTTTTGCAAAAATGTTTGAGATTTGATAAAGAACTTTATTCGGTAATAACCAATATTCGCCTCCAAATCAAACTTTGATGGAGATATATTTAATTAAGTTCTTAAACAGGGGAATATATGCTGACTTCAAAGCACTGAATATTTTCATAAGTAATGACGCCATATGCACGTAATGACGTCACAAACATGACGTAAATTTCAGTTTTTTTGATGACTTTTACAGACAAAATGTACATATTTCGTTATTTTGAGTAAAAGTCACCGAGGGCATGTGTGTTCAGGATCAATATTTTGATATAATGTGTAGAATGGTAATATCAATGAAATATGTCAATATTGTTCATGAACGAACTTGCGCTCTATAAATTTTAAAGCTAAAATTGTTGAAATTTTGTCCATTTTGCCCTCTTTCTGAAAAAGGATATAAAATCGGACTAGTTTGTGACTTCATAAAAACAAAAATTGTGAATACACTGCTTTGACACAATGATATTTTCTGTTAATTTATATTTCTCATACAATTTATTGAATTCAGCACATTTCAGGAAGTTTTCAAAATTTGACTATTGTGGGGGGAAAATATATGCAATATACCGCATATAGTTCTTTTCTCCTATTTAACATGATTGATTTAATCTTTTAACTTTTAAGAAAAACTGTGGATAGATTTGCGTAATTTTGTGGATTCAGAGATACTTTTATGAGTAGTTTTGATTACTGCTAATTTTATGCACCTGAGGATCGGACTACCTTAATATATTTTATTGCGAATGCCAAAAAAGAAACTAAGCTACATGACTCATGAGGATTTGGGGCATTTAAATTATGTTTGTGATATGACCCTTAACTTATGGACTTGAATATTTCTCGGAAAGATGCTTGTGTTTCATCATAAAAGTGTACTTTATTAAGGTATAGTGGGTCTTCTCTCCATGTTTTTGTTAACCAAAAAATGTATATTTTATTGCAATCTTTTAGGATTATCTTTTAAAAAAAATGTAGGGAAGACCCACTTATATTGAAAAAAATTGTTAAAGTATGAGAAAATGATCGTTTTTGTTCTTTTTAGCGTGTGTACGCTTTTTCATAGTCAAATATTTTAGTCTTTGTGAGATTTTTGTAAATTGTAAAGATTTTACCTTAGTATACTTAATTATTAGATGAAATATCAAATAAATTTGAATATAAGAGATTAAATTTTTCAATTCTTATCAGTCGCACTATAGGCACTTCGCCCGCCTTATCTCCCCATCGTCTTTGCTTTATATTTAAGGAGACAATTACTAGTATTCCCTTAACTGGAAATTAAAGCCGAAGTTCATGTGTTATTGATAGTATATGATTAAGTCTGTATCAGAAAATTTCAACGAAATCACTAGGAGTGCATAATAAGTGAAGGAAACAAAATTGATAACTTGAGCTATATTTGGTAATCAGGAAGTTCAACATATTGATCGAATTTTGATTATTCAGTAAGGCAGTTTCCATATTTTGAAGCAGAGTTAAAGGATAAGTTAAGAGTTCTCAGTTTTGTTTATGGGTCTTCACATCACCAAATAACACTGAACTGTTAATTTGTCTACAGTATTATTTTCACTTGTCAAATTAGTAGATATCTGAGTTTGCCAAAAAAAAAAAAAAAAAAAAAAAAATTGAACCCCAATCCCCCAATATTTAAATCTTCTTGTCTACCTACACTTTGGGTTTTTACTAGGTCTTAAAAACAAGGGTCTGGATCTTTCAATTTGGAAAAGATAGTGACATTTGGTTAAAATTGGGAAAATATCATATTTAACATGCTTCTATACTCAAAAAAAAAAAAAAGAAACGCATATTCAGAATAAACATGATAATCTAGGTTTTTGGATTAAAATTTAATTTTTAAAAGTTATCTAAGAGTATATTGTGATAAAAACCAAACATGTCCTACATTGTATGTTCTAAATTGACAAGTTAAGTTGATGGCATTGACGTCGCCTCCAAATGCTAAAGGCAAACGCCTTAAAAAAATCCATATGTCCTTTGCGACCTCTCAGCGCTAGAGGATTTCCAATGTACGGACGTCGTGTACGAATACCAGCTCCTTTCAGTCTCTTGCGCACTATTTACACACTTTATGCTTATTTCAGCAGTTTGTACAGCGATTCTGATTCGAGGGACTATATGACGGTCGTGTCTCGGTGTGGATTTCCGCGGACGACCAGTTTTGGTCTGTCATTCTTACCTGGTGGAGACGTGCAGCTGCAACTTCCAGTTGCGTAGTTCCGGTTAGTATCGTTGTTAGAGCCTTGTTGCCTTCATCTTTGTTTAACGTGGCATTGCAGCATCGACATTGCAATCAAAACAAAAATATTAGTTTTAGTTTATTAGTTTTAGTTTATTAGTTTATTGTTTCTCTAACTACAAAATTCCATTGTAAATAGACTCCTAATTTACAAGAAACCAAGCAAAACTCTATTTTCATAAACATTTTTAATCAAGGGAGAAAGTTCAACAATTGGGGTTTAAAAGATCATGATGTACTTTAAATAGGTCACAGGTATCCAATGATTAACAAGATGATGCGGTCGACAGTGGCAAACATTATTTCCTGAAAAAAAGAATAAAAATGAATCATTCTGATGCTTTTCTGCGTTAAACCTAGAAATGTACAAAATTAGGGACGTCATATTTCCACAATAGTCCTCCTTTATGTCATATTCTTTAATGATCGATTTATCATATTTATCTACTCAACAAGTGTCATAGCCAATTTCATAACTTTTTAAGAACATGAAATTTCTAGGACTCAATAAAGCCATAATTTTACCTTCTTCTTTCTTTGATGAGTTAAACAATATGTTTTTCTTTTATGTTGAGCATATATAAATTCAAATTTTTAATAGTTTTTTTTAGTTTGCGAGGTATATCTTATATATGACTTATTTTACATTCATTCAATCAGTTTTTGGAGAATGCCTTTTAAATTATTATTTCAAACAACATTTTTCATACAAATATTACTTAGTTTGGACATTTTTAACGGATTTGTTTGTTTTGAATCTGTTTTTGGGAATTTTTTTAATGAAATTTGGAGAAATACTTTTTATCATTGCAAATGGGGCCTTACACCTCTCAGCCCCTAAAAACCTAGCCCCCCGCTTATATAAATTATATGACTTCACACTAGCCTACACATTAGCAGAAAGGAATATACGTCACTGCCCCCCCCCCCCCCCTTATCCACTTTAAACGCGGGAGAATATCAGACAAAATCATTTTGCAACTTGGTAATATGTTTGTCATTAAACATATGTCGTGCTCTTCTCTGGAACACAATACCTCGATTGCTCTTATATGATGGGATATCATTCCTCCTAAGTAAATTATTTAATATGCAGGATAGGCATTTTGCTAACACTTGCTCGATAAAGTCAATAAGCTTTACCAATCCAAGTTACCTGTACTTCTTAATTTTCCAAACGTAAGTTAGTATATTGTCAGATTTGTAGCTGCCTATTTAAACTATACATGCCGAGTAAACAAGTTAAGACCTCACAATCCATACAAGATGCTCTAAAAAAGTAATAAATAATATGGTGAATACAGCGCATCAACAACGCTCACATCATATCTACTCTAATATACTTTAGGAATGCGCATGATTTCCATTGGATTTTGTTACAGTTTATGTGATACCCCTTTTAAAGCAAGACATGTTGCACTTCCAATTCTAAAATAAAGTGATTTGTAATTGGAATTTGTGTGATTAATTGTAATACTATGCACGAATAATGAACCCTGAGCAAGTGGTCTCACTGAAAGAATTTAAATTATAAACTTGGCAAATATGTTTCTTTAATGAATAGATGGCAATAAAATACAGATCCCTTTTCCTGTTTGATCGGTTTTAGAGAATCTTACAGAGATAGAGACGCAAGAGATGCTTTTTGACGTACAAAAATTTATATCCTTATTAGTTAACAGAACATGGAAGTAATGCTTCGAGGTATGCACTAATTCCCCTACCCTAAATAGGCTGCAAAGGGCTAAGGTAAAAACTGATCAAAACAAGAATGTTTCATATTTCGAATTATTCATCAGGTGTGTTATTCGGCGAATAACACACCGGATATAGAGCACCCTACAACTTCTTAACTATGAATATTTACATTTGAAAATGTTTTTTATATAACACGACTGAAAGCAATTTAATTTAGTATTTTGATTTATATCATGAATTTTAGGGAAATAGAGAGGGGGAAAATTCTTACAATAAATACGCTTTCTTGGTGAAATTGTTTTCTCGGAAAATTAACACCTTAAATGATCAACGGTTATTGTAAATATCAATTCATATAAAGAAAAACTGAAAGGTTTAGAATAATAGATTTGATAAAAATAAAGTGCATTAGAATTAAATATGAATTAATGTCAGAGATTATTAATTTTTAGGTTAAGAAAATGTACAAGTCTTTACGCTGTACCGAAGTCATTACGTTGAAATTTGATAATGCCATATAACGTCATGACGTCGTCAGTATTTTCTTCTTAAGAAAACATTGCATTTTTAGTGAGTTGTGTAGGAAAAGCGGTTTGGAATATTTAAAAAAAATTGATTTAGAACAGGTGTATCCAAGACACTCACCGTTCACGGTAGCCTAGTGGTAGAGCGTTCGCTTCGTGATCGGGAGGCCCGGGTTCGATTCTCGATCGCGGCGCCGCGTCAAACCTAAGACGTAAAAATAGGTAGTGACTGTTCCTTCGCCAAGCGCTCGGCATCAGAAGTGAAAGTCACGGGTCTTTCGGATATGACCTTAAAAACGTAGGTCCCGTGTCACGGTAGGCGCTGGCACGATAAAGAACCCTCACTGCTCAATGGCCCTGAGTGCCGAGTATAGGTCTAAATTTGAAGCCCTTCACCGGCATACGGTGACGTCTCCATATGAGTGAAAAATTCTCAAGAGGGACGTTAAACAATATACAATCAATCAATCAATCCAAGACACTCTATATAAATATTATTACCAGATTTTGTGACTAGGCGGATAACGTACCTTTAGTTAGTTTTTCTCAGTGACATCAATTCTGTAATTAAAGCAGACATCAGCTCAGTTTGGGTTGATGTGTGGCTGTGTGCGATGCCACGAGGCTGGATTCTGGCCTGGGCGGGAGAGCGATCAAGTGTAGCCATAAAGCAATTTTGATCAATTTCGGTAACAGATTGCTTGACATACTCTAAACTGCTCGTCGTAATTTCTCCGTCCCATGCTCGGAAATTTCCTTGCCGCGTCGAGAATGACAACCATATATTGCACCAGTTCGGCTGCCCTCCATGGATGTCTTTGAATATAAATGTGCATAAATAAAAAAAAAAGCATCTGTCCATCTATCGATGGCTGTCGTTATTTCATTTAATACTTCATTTCTAGCCTCAAGCTCCCTCACATCATTTGAAACAAAATAAGGACCATTTCACACTTATTTGGACTTTTAGTAAGGCTTGACATTCTCGACGTTACATAACCAGCTTCTGAAATTTATACAGCTTTCCTTCATTGTTAAAATATACATGGGATAGAAACTCGGGGAAACGCCAATTAGTGCATCGAATAACCAATTACGTTGTCTCATCCTGCACAGAGGCGGAGCTTAAGTCGTTTCATCATTGTCAACAAAAGTATAAAGTTCCTGATTTTGAAGGCGGGAAACATGTAGCGCCGATAATGCCACGCCTAACTGAAAGTCCAAACTATAAGCTTGAAATGATTTTACTCCCCATCAGCAATTCAAACTGCTGTGCATGCAGTTCAGCAATACCCTTTGTCAACAGGGCTAAATTTATTTGGTTCCCCTCCCATTTTTTTGTTTTAAAGAGAGTGACACATGGGTACCTATATCGATCGTCCCAAGTGCAAACCTCCATGATTGGCATCGCCCCGAAATTATCTGCCGATGTCAGGGCAGCTTCCTCAGGGACAGGTCACAAACTAGTCAGATATAATTACCTACCCTTATTGCTGGTAACGAGCAGCTCATGCTCCTCTACCATTCCCGTGGAGGATTGAATAACTTCCTCTCTGGCCTGGATACCAGTAACGAGCAGCTCAGCTTCGGGATCTGGCATGGTATCAGTGTGGCAGAGAGAGGCTAGATGTCTTCTCCCTTTCTGCCTTTCTGCTGCTTGGCTCCTTGGTCCGCTTGCTTGCCTTGATGGACTTGATGGTGACTTTGGACTTTCTGGCTCTAATTGGTGGCAAGATTTTGCTTATTTGATGAATCGTTCTCGGGGGCCTTTACGTACTTCAACAATTATCACAAGTGTCGAGCGCTTGGAAAGCTATCAATTGCAAGCAAGAGGAGGAAAACGCCAATGTCATGTTCGCTCCTCTTTTATACTCGCAGCAATCGGGGAAAGTGTCAAAAGACCTACCCTCTGAACTGTTTTTCAGAAATCAATTAAATGCGTTTGATTAGCAATCACTTTAAACGACCTTATTTGTTTATTTAAAAAAAAAAAGATATTCAACATGCTTTTGATTTCTTATTTCCGTTGTATATTAATTTATTTTTTTGTGTCAATAGTTAGTATATATTTTTTTCTTTTGTAGATAATTAATGTCAAATTACTAAGGTAAGTAGTACTTATGTGAATGTTTTAATTTTAACTTCCTTCGTCCGGAAGTCCAATTCAACAAAGTTTTTTAACAACTATCTTAAAATAAACAGTTGAACTTTGTCTTTTTAAGGAAGACTTTTTGTTACATAATATATATCTTACACATGATATGGAGACATCCAACATATGGATTACACTCTTCCTTCTCTGTACAGTTACATCTCAATTCACACTTCACACCATAATGACCTACTGGACACGGGATGCTGCAGTTTATTCCATAAAAACCAACACACCCTGCCAAAAGTATAAAGCACATCTTCCCTCTTTTAGATTAGCACAATATATTTCATCTTTTCCCTGAATATCAAATCTGAAAACACTATAACTTGTTTAGATTAATTATAAGGAATCGCATGCTATATAAGTAGTGATTGTGTGCTCCTTAAAATATGATTGCTTCTTGATGAAATGGAATATGTTTTTTTTTTTACTGCGTGGTTTTTTTTTTTATCAGTACAGAGCATTATTCCATCAAGTTCAATCAACTTTCTAATAAAACCCCAAAGTTCCTTACCTGTACATGTGTTGTTTATTATTCGGTATCCAGAACAACAATTTGCTGGGATGCTGAAAAGAAATACCAGGGATCAATTATTAGTTCACATTTTTTTACGTAAGCTAATAAGTATATACCGGGTATGTTCAAATGACTTACTCGCTTTTTGGACATATATTGTCCTCGCATTTTCCATTTGAAACCCCGAGAAAAAGAATAAGACAAATAAACCTTGTTTGTTTCATTGTGCTACTTCCATAGAAAATAACCAGTTTCCTTGTATGTATCACAAGTTTATATAACTTATAGTACACTTTATTAGATTTAAAAATTACATCCGTCCTTCCAGTTTAGATAAATAACGACGTTTACTTTAAGATTGATGCAGAATATTTCCCCCAACGAGTGTTTCGGTTTTTTTTTTTTTGTTTTTTTTTTTATATTTTTTTAAATTTGAATAAAGCGAGCATGACCTTTTTTCCAGATTAAAACATTTATATAATAAAACAAAGACTTAAAACTTGGAAGTGTTCATTATAGCAGGACGTGACGTTTTCTTTCACCCATATTTTTTCCAAAACCATAAGTCTTTTTTACACTTCCCCAATCAAATTATAAGTACATGTATTTGTTGATGGACCTCTTATAGTATACTTGATTATTTAAAGGACAATTGTTATAACACAGCTCAAGTGCATGAAAGCAGTATTTAAGAAATAAACAACGTTATTATATGGTCTATTTATATTTCCTACATAATCTATACAAGCGCAAAACAGTTCATAACACTACATATTCACTGGGTTTGAGGCTGTATTCACCAGAGGGTCATTGCGCGTGCAGCTACATTGTGACGTCAAAATCAACACCTCAAAAACGTTGTAAACAATATGACTGACATCACGATAAAAAGGCCCTTATCGTACGACGTCACAATGCTCAGAAAACGACGTCAAAGTCGCTGTATTGTAAACACGGAAGTGATTTTTGTCGGTTGCGTTTGATGTTTTGATGATCAATGAGAATGAAATAGATACAGATTTCCAGGTAATAGAAAGATTTTTTCCGAATTTCTATTATGTATAAATTGATTTAGGATATATTAGTGATAGCTATATAATTATGTAGAGTATGTATTTTCTTTATTGGAATTACTTATATCATTTAGACGTTTGGGCCTATAACTTATCGCGACATTCTTCAATACACATGAGTCGCGATGTCAGATCTAAGACATGCATGTAATACCTTGATGCATAATAATAACATGTTTATATAGAGAAAGATACAAGTTTCCCAATGCTATTCTATATAAATAAGTTTTAACTATGACCGAGTGCTATTTTGTATGTGATGTCTGAGAGAGAGAGGGGGAGAGAGAGAGATGACTGCATATCTTTTTTCAGTACTACATTCTTTTCTTTAAAAAATGTAAATATTACCTAAATCATTTTCTTTTTTTTTTCCTCCTACACATACACTTGCTTTACATTTAAATGTTAATATTTACATTTGCAAATGTTTTCCTTTATATAACAGTACTGAAAGCAAGCATTTTTATAACTGTATAAATACAGGTACGGGGTCAAAAGGTCATAGATGTGCGTATGGATAAACGTTCGACGTAATTTCTCAGTGACGTCATAAAGAGTCGACGCGCGTTCAGTGGATTACATACATGCCGTTGGGTTTGAAAAATAATGCATTTTACACATTAAAAGTCACAATCAGGCAAATTTAAAGTATGAATAAGTCACAAATGTAAATATAAGTAATAAGGTATCATTTTTTGAGTTTTATTGGGATGTAAAACGGGTTGGCACATGATCAAATCTTCCATAAAGCCCTTGTGACCAACCCATTTTACATCCCAATAAAACTCAAAAAATGATACCTTATTTCTTAAATAACGTACGTTACAGGGATTTTTTTTAAGTACGCGTACATGGCATGGTCTGCGCTGTGAAAATGTATGAGATGATGGTGAAGATTATTTAAAAATAAGGTATCATTTTTAAACATCTATCGGGATATAAATACAGGTACATGTAAGTCACGAGATTAAATTCTATAAAGCCCGAAGGGCTTTATGATTAATTTAATCTCGTACCAACCCGTATTTATAGCACGATAGATGTTTTTAAATAATACCTTATTACTTATATATACATTTGTGACTTATTCATACTTTATATTTGCCTGATTGTGACTTTTAACGTGTGAAATACGTTATTTTTCATATACTTTTTTTATACTGATTTACTTTGTTTTGTACGTTTGGAACTTTTCAATGTTGGATCGAGGTATCGCTAACCAATCAAATGAAGGGAAATGAAAACGTTCGCTTACGTATTGCATGAAATTTTTCCGGGTTGATAGCAAAACCTTTACCTTTTGATATGTATGTGTAACTTACCATAGTTCTCTTAATTGAATATTAAAGAAGCCTAGCCTTGCATGGTTTGTACGACAATCGAGCAAAGAATGACAATCAAAATTACATACAAACGTAAAATGTGATAAGTTAATTGTTTTCCTTGTGTTCTCATGTATAAAACCCAGAGAATAAATTCCGCTTCATATGTGTTAACCATTTTCCAATACGATTGTTCGAGAAAATACTATACATTACCTATATTGTTTATTAAGTTATATACATATATACTCTCATATTCCTTTAACCTACCCATAGATATTTTTGATTTTCTCGGAAAGATTGAGAGAGATCATATATAGTGGTAAGCGAATTCTTTTTACCTGCTACTATTGTAACAAGGTTTTTGATCAATTGATTTAGAATAATTCTATTTTTCATGAACGATTGAATTAATACAAATCTTTTCCTACACAGGCAAGTTTATCTGAGTTTTTGTTTGAGTTTGAGTTAAATATTGAATCTGAGTTGTCTGAATTTATATTGTTTATCGGACTTTTAGGCCATAACTATAAAGGTATATAAGACTTACGATGACCTCTGTAATAGTGCATTAAATGATCACCAAGAACTGAGTCGGGAAGGTTGGGGTATTGAGTTGGTTTAGTTTTAATTCTATGTAGGACTTACGATGACCTCTGTTCAATGGTCCACCAAATTATCACAGAGAACTGAGTCGGGAGTGTGGTAGGTATCGGTACACAGATCCAGACCGTGCAGTGTGGGGTCAGTGTTAGCCAGTCCTCCCTGGGACATCTGTATCACCGACCATGCCATCAGCATCCCTAGAAATCCAGCTATCCTCACCAGGTTTGCAACGGAATGAAAGCTTATTTTAATTTTGTGATTAATATTCCCTCATGTGCATGTTTAAAATATTATGTTAGATACACAGCAATGTAGTTATTAACAGAATAAAACGTCGCTCAAAATCAATTCAAGTTTATTCTAACGCAATACTTGTTTATGAAAAAGTATACTATAGGTATTAGATCCAAAAATAAGCTATATCTGGACAATCCTGCGTCTTAATATGTGACAATTTGCCTTATCCGACATGCTTAAAAAAACACAGTGCTGGACTTAACTGTTCAGTTATGTTTTGCTATAGCTTAAACATTTTACACTAAAATATGTAGGTTTTCGTTCACGATTAGACTTGTCAAGTGAGTGTCGTTATATTATCAAAAGACACATATTGTCGCATTTTATAGAGTGTTGTAATGTTGTCTAAAGATAAATATTATCTCATTTTCGAGTTTTTGACTAACTAATCCACACACAAAGAAAAATTATATGAAGAAAAAATGAAATGCAATTCATGCCCTTAATCGACTCATCTAGAGGATCATTTTTAAATATCATGCACTCGAAAAATGTTTAACATGGATCTTGTTCATATTTGTGGTTGATAAAAAGTATTTTTTTTATATCCATATTTAATATATACATGTATCTCGAGAGGTTGAGAAACAGCCATAACTAGGTTGTTATTGACAAATTGTTTTCATATATCTTATTTTTTTCATGTTTCCACAGTCCCATTCAACCATAAAAAGGTTTCTTTAGTATCCACACACAAGCAATTTGGAATATTTAGATAGCATTTAACAATGTAACAGAGGAACTGTCCATCTGAGTCTAGGATGTGAATACGTTGGTTAAAAGCGTCCGATATCAGGATCTGACTCTGGCTGTCTGTTGTGATACCGGATGGATGAAATGCACTGTTGGTGGAAGGGCGGCGACCAGCGTATCGGAATCGGAAATTTCCTTCCTCATCAACCACCATTACTGCTCTGGCTCCTTCGTCAGATACACAGATATCTAGATTTCCGTTCTCACACATGTATTTCATGAGATCTGATGAATATAGAGGTTTACCTTCACTATCAAATTGAATGGTTTGTTTCTATGTAGAGCCAGAGTAACGGACAATTTTTTATTGTTTGTCTTCATCACTGTCCATTGTAACCAGAAGATCACCAGAGGAACTAATAAGAATATTGAAAGGTCTCCATCCCTGTAGTCTGATCACCTCCTGTATTTCTAGATCTTCATTCTTTACTATATTTACTGTTCTGGTATCAAGGTCAGTTTAAATTCGATCTCCACTTCTTGTCACTGCTATGTCACATGGAACGTTCCCTGACTTGGTTTGGACTGACTTCAGTAATTCACCCTGAAGGTTGCAGAGTTTCATCATATTATCTTTTCCACGTGTCCATATTTCTTTATCACTCATACAGGCAACACTTATTAGTCTAAAGCCAGTGTCTATGGTGGTGATGAGCTTAGGTTTATCGAGTAGTGATTTGACTGGAGGAGAGGATACAGCTTCTGGTGTCTTCATTGTGTAGCCATGTTCGTCTTTTGAAATCGAAAATGCTGAAAGGGACCCAAACATTTGATTGAGGTGTTCTGTGTTGATCTGGTAAAGAAACATTGATTTAGGGAGGTAAACGTCTGAATTCAGCATTCGTTGATTTGTAGGCAACGATTAGGGAGATAACATTGGATTCCAGTATTTTTTTCAGGTCGTGAATACTCTGATTTATTTCAGAAATTTCCTTTTTTATCTTAATTTCATATTCATCAAGAGCAGCCAGGTGTTTAGTTTTCATCTCATCAATGTCAAATTTTTAATTGTTAACAATGATGCTAATTTCTCTGTGCCAATCTTCTCCTTTTTTGGTGACAGCTGTTGTTAGTCTCTCATAATGTTTTTCCAAAGAAGCTTTTTCATCCTTGATATCTAATTCAATTTCTTGGTAAGTGACATAATGTTTTTTTCTAGTTTTTTGAACTTTCTTGTTAAATTCTTTGATTTGGAGCTGAGTTTTTGTAGAATGTCTCTTGTTTCATGTCCTTGGTGTCTACAAGAGGAGATGCAAGCAGACGGAAGTGTCACATTTATCACAG